ATAAGTCTTTTCCTTTCAGCGCTTTGATTCCCTCTGCATTTCTTGAAACTGGTCTTGAAACTCCTCCATCCTATCGACAAGACCTAGACTTTCGACAGGTTCAGCATGATAAATTGGTTCATTCATGTATGGAATAGTATGAACCACAGGAGCAGCAATAGTCATTACTGGTTGAGGGAAAGGTACCATAGGCGGGATTACAGGCTGCACAATAGTTGTCTCTGGTTGAGGAAAGGACACAATAGGTTAAATCAAGGATTGTACAGCAGGCTGATACCCTTCTGGCATGAAGTTATAAGGCATGCCACACGGAAAACCTTTCGGCATTTGATGTTGGGGCGGAGAGTTGACTTGAGTCACAGATGTTGGAGCGGTGACGATCTCAGAAACCACAGTAGTTGAAGTTTGAATTTCGGCTACTGAAGTCGATGGCTAATTCTGAGCGGCCATCAAGCTTTCAACTAGCGCGATTAACTTTTCCATTCCGACACGAAGAGTAGTAACCTCTTCGCGAAGCTCGTGATTTTCCTGTTCCAGATCTTCCATCTTCCTTTGACGATTGGCTCGGGTATCGTACCGGTGAGACAGCTTTACAATCTATCGGAGTGGAAAAAGAAACAAGGATAAGACTCTAGAAAACATGTGAAGTGGAATGTTGGATGATGCATGATATGTGATGCAAATGATCATTTATTTTGATAGTTTTTTTCAAGGAACTTTAGAACTTTGATAACTTTGCACACATCAATGGTAAAGGAATTTGGAACAACAAAAACTCATTTCATTAATCAAAGTGGTAAATTACAACTTTGGGACAACAAAAACAATAAATTACAACTTTGGGACAACAACCCAATAATAAAAGCAGTAAATTACAACTTTGGAACATGAAGCCCTTTTACAGAGTTTTACAAAATGACATAAGTAATAATAATAAAAAACTAAGAACTAAAGGTCACTCAGAATCATCAGATGAACGACCAAATGCCAACTGTAACTGGAGCTTCCTAATCTTCTCTTCGTAGAAGTCTTCCATCTCTTTCTTCTCAGCTACCAGTTGATCAATGATCTCCTTCTGTGGATTAGGAACAAGAGCGACACCTACCAAATCTCCCTTCTTTCTCTTCCTTTCATTAGCATATTTCTTGAGTAATGCATCCTTTTGACGAAGCTTCTCATCATGATCAATAAACCAACCGTCTTGAATAAATAACAAATCCTCCTTTTCCTTCATCTGTCGAGACAGGACCCTATTTTCATATTCAGACATATTATACTTTTCCTTCCAAGCATCAATTTCGGACTTCATCCTAGCCAGATTTCCTAGGTATTCTCTCATGTTCTCGATATGGATATCAATAGATGATGATGCAACAACAGGGAATAAAGGTTTCTCGGGGTTATAAGGCATATTGAGAGCACAAGCCCTAGCATGAACCCATTGTAGGTAAGGCTCTAAAGAAACAGAACCTCTATGCCCTAACATGTCTCTCCCCTTTCTATGGATGTGACGCCAAGATCTTTCAATCTCCTCCTTAGCTGCTTGGTGATCTTTTCCTTCTTGTAGAAAGAAACCACTCACATGAATGTTGTTCGGCTTGTCCCTCATCGGGTATCCAAACTGACGGCACGCGAGAACAAGATTATAGTTAATTCCTACTTTTGTACCAAGAAGAGGCACGTTGGGAAAAGCACCACAACTATCGATGATCTTCACGTTATAGTAAGCTCGATTATACCAATCTATGTCGGAATGAGTGAGAGCCATAATTTTTGGCGCCCGTCGTGGCTCCTTCTCGAGATCCCAGAAAACATCAGACCTAGGTAGATGAGAAACATACCACTGGTATAGCAATGGTGCATAACAGATAATCATCCCTTCTTGATAGGAGTTTCGAAGATGGATGGAGTAGAAGGTATCTCCTAGCAGCGTAGGGACCGGATTTCCATTCAAGAAGATTTTGATGGCGTTGATATCCACGAACTTATCAATGTTAGGGAATAAGAATAGGCCATAAGCTAGTAAAGCAAAGACATCTTCAAAGGCAACAATATCTTTTATCTTAGCAAAATGACGAGCTTTCTTCAACAAAAACTGCGCAGATAAGCCTCGGATTCCCCCTTTGGTAGTCATGTTCTCTTCTATCTCCGACTTCCTCAAGTGGGTGATGGTCGCTATCTCGTGAAATTTGGGTTCCTCTTCTAAGCCAGAAAAGGGAACACAGTCGGTGATCAGCAAACCAAGTATGTAAGAGTACTCTTCTAAGGTGGTCATTAACTGGTAATCAGGAAAGGTGAAGCATCGATACAATGGATCATAGAATTGGACCAACGTACTAAGGATGCCTTCCTTCATCTTTCGCTTCATGAGAGGTATAGTGGACCCATATTTCTTTTGAAACTCCGTAGGGTTCTCGATCCTAGGAATCAAACTCTTCAGCTCTTCAATCTCAGGCTCCTTAAAACTATAACTTCGAGTGTTTCTTCTTCCAAAATCCATAATAACAGTGCCTGAGATGTCTGCAAAAATCATTCTTAAGTTCCTTGAAAACATGTTTTACAAAAAATGTTTATGGATGTATGGATGAATGATAATGCAACAATTACACATAAGTTCACAAACATGGGGTTCAAAGGTTCAACGCTTCGAGCATGGAGTCAAAGGTAAAGCTCACCCCCAGGGTATGTACTAAAGGTTTAATCACACCTGCAAGACAAGGTTCTAAGAGTTCCCAGAGTCTACATTCCTCCTTCGGATATTACCAACATCTTGATTACTCAATAATTAGCAATATTCTCAAGAGAAACTCATCCGAGCGTAGCATCGCGTGACAGCTACTTCCGGATTAATCCGTTATAGTCTTCGCGCTACACCTAAAAGGCCAAGATGGGTTAGGGATCTACGGTTCTCAGCTTCTCTGGATCCCAGGTCGAAAATAATAATGTCTTCCCGATTACTCGGTAAATAAATAATACGTTCAAAAGGGCCTTCCATTGAGTGTGGGATTTCATGCCTCCTTCTTCGGGATTACTCCCTCAAAGTTAACATGACTATACCGCCCGTCCTATTCTTAAGTGTAACTTAGTCCAGGTATAGGACTTATCCTTTGCAAAAACCCAAATAACCCCAAAATAAACATATAATCAAACAATCAAAATAATGATAAAACAGATAAAACAAACTAGGCTTAACCCACTTAGGGATGGACCAGCAAGAGGTCAATCTTTCCCCAGCAGAGTCTCCATTTCTGTAGTGATAAAAAATGTAGCGGGGTAAATCAGAGATAGAGCTATTAATTAACTCGTCTCGCAAAAGCAAGAGTCGCCACCGCGCTTTATTATTTCCAAGGGAAAAGGGAAAAGAGCGAAATAAAACCCTAAAATATGCAGTGTAAAATAATACTTAAAAGTAATGAAAATACAAGGCATTTTGAAAAAAGATCTAGAGTTCGGGGGTTGGTTATACAATGGAAAGGTATTAGTACCCAATGCATATATAGTATCCTATAGGAACCTTTTGAAATATTTTTCTATTAAAATTGTTTATTTGATTAAAAGTAGCTTGTTTGGCTAAAATGGGTATGCACGAGATTTTGAAGATACGACGACCTAACGTCGAAGTTTTGACTAAAAAGGTGTGAGTTTGAAAATTGGACATTTAGGAAAATTATCTTAAGTTTTAAACAAAATAATCAACAAAAAATGAATGAGGGTATTCATAAGATTAGATGAGATATGTTTGATGACATGTAGTCAACAAAATTAAAACAATTCCCTTGGATTTGAGACGGACGAAAGATATAAAGATTAACGATCGATGATAAATTTAATTAAAATGACAATTGAAAAATTAAATAATGAAAATTAAATTATACTAGCATGCATTTTAAACGATTGAATAAATAACCAAAAGTACATAAAGATTTAATTACAATATTATGGATTATTTTTAATAATTAAACAAATAGCAAGAATTAAATCATGAAACATGTATTTTTTGAATAATTAAATAAACAACAACAAAAATTAAATGAAAAATTAATAGCATGTTGACCAAAATTAAATAAAAGATAAATTTATAATAACATGTTTATTTTTATGTTTTGTAATTAAATAATAATTATTTAATAAAGTAAACTAATATATAATCAAATTGAAAGGAAAAAGCTTAAAAGAACTAAAAAATACCCCAGCAAGAGTTGAACTCGGGTCTTTAAGGTTGTTGTAAATAATGCCTAGCCATTTAAATTGTTTTGCTTATTCATCAATATCATGATTTTATTAAAACATAAAGGAAAGTGGTAATTGGATTGGGCCAAAAGGCCCAAAGACTGACCCGGTTTGGATGAAAGGGAACAAGGAAAAGTGAAAACCCTAAGTGTATGCTGGGGCGCGGCGGCGATATCATTGAGAACAGGGAAAAGATTAATTTATTATTTAATGAATAAATAATTAAAATAAAAACTTAAAATAAAACACTCTTCTCTCTCTCACTCACGGATTGTCACTCTTCTCAGTAAACAAAAACAACAAAAACTTTATGCCAATTAAATCTCTCTCTCTCTTCCCTAAACCTCTCAAGAACTCTCATCATCTACGACAAATCTGAAGAAGAATCGAGAACGAAGTTAACTGTTAAAAGGCATCGAACCGCCCTTCTGGTAGGTAAACACTTCCTACTTCTCATTATGCATCATTCGCATCTATGTTGAAAAAGGAAATCAGAGAAGATTGATGATAAGTGATGAGCAAACCGAATCTGCGAACGACGCAAGGCTGTGAACAGAATCGAGCTGATGATGGATGGTTTTGAAAACGGTGCAAGGCGTCAATTTCACGAACGATTCATGGCTCCCTGGATGCGTCCATCGTTTTGGATTTATCGATCACTTTCACGGCGACTGTTGAACCGTCTATCAGGGAAATTTCCTGGTAAAACTTCGCGAAGTTTCCGCGTCCGAGGAATTTTGTGAGCTGGTATTTTCAGAGTATGGTTCGTGATGGCGGAGATGGAGGTGGGTTGTAATGTCAACATGTTAAGTGTTTTTACAGGTTCTAAGTTTTTAACAGGTCTTATGGTTAGAGTTGGTTCTATTGTTAACAGGTCTTATGGTTATAGTAGTTTTTAAGATTTATAACAGTTTCTATGTTTGGTACAGTTTAAGTTTTTTGGAACGGCAAGTTCTACTGTTAACAGGCGTGGCAAAAACAATTCCGAAAATCCAGCTCTAGTTTTCTTCTGTTTCATTGCAGGTGAATGTGAGAAGGTGATGTTGATGGTAAGGTTCTGTGTTCTGCAGGTTTTAAGATTGTTAACAGGTTTTATGGTTAACTGGTTTTTATGGTTTAACAGGTTCTAAAAGTTAACAGGTTGTATGTTTTGTAACAGGTTCTAAGCTTAACAGCAAGTTCTATGTTTGTAACAGCAGGTTCTAAGGTTTTGGAACAAGTTCAAATATTTTGTAACAGTTTCTAAGCTGGTTTGTAGGTTGAGGTTTTTGACAGGTTCTATGCTGGTTTTTAACAGATCTTATGCTTTTAACAAGTCTTATGATTTTAACAAGTTCTAGTCTGGTACAGGTTAAGTGAAAGGCGTGGCAAAACAATTTCCAAAATTTTAACTCTGGTTTTTCTTCTGTTAGATTTTATTATTCTAATTTAAGATCGAAACTAAGTTGGAATCTCTACTGTTCGAGCAGAATTGGTTGCAAGATATCGATTGGTGGTTGTTAGAGGAAGAGACAGAAGGTTGTTGTTACGCGAAGGGAGGAGTATGGTTCTTACATTATACTTATTATTATTACCGTTATTATGAATTCTACACATGTTAAACGCTAACAAACATGCAGCAACTCAAATAAAATACAACAAAGAAAAGGATGATAAAGCAATCATTGGATGGCCAAGAAAAATGATTCAAAAAGTGATTTAAACATGAATATATGCAGCAGTATATAGGGAGGAGGAAGAGAATAATACCTATCGGAGCCTCTCTGATGGGGCTTCTAAAAAGGTATTAAGTTTTTTTCTTGAGTTTGCTATATTCTTCTGGCTTTTCTCTCTACTGAATTTTAGAACAAAACTATCTTTTTTCTGTTTTCACTCTCTTGTTGAACAAAACTCTCTTTTATGTTTTTCTCACTCTTGCTGAATTTTTTTGACTTCTCCCTCTTTTTGTGTTGATGAAAGCCTCTATTTGTAGTGAAATGTGTGGGGTTTTAGGGGGGAAAACAGTAGAAATTTGAACTATTCTAGGCCTTGTTTTGATGTTTTATGGGATAGCTTTTTGAGGTATCCATTTTAGTGCAATATTTGAAGCTTTGCAAACTGTTTTTGTAACAGCAAAATGTGCAGATTTTTGTCTTATGGGCTGCATTCTGGACTGTTTTGCAGGGCTGATTTGGACAGCAGCTTGACATGGTCTTTGTTGACACAAGGTTAAAGAAAATGGAAAGCACACTCAAAAAATGGTCTGTTATGGATTAATATAGTGCTGGAAAATGGGCAGCATTGGGACTATTTTGTAGCAAGAATAATAGTTAATTTTCATGTACAAAACTTGTATTTTATTTTGTAACTTTGTAACAATAAATCCAAATAAATTGTAACATGAATAAACATGTATTCTTCAATATATCCTCAATTCCTTTTGTAATTATAAATAACCTTGAATCTTCATATGATCATGAATCTTGATATGTCTTGATAAAAATTCAAGGCCTTCCATTTGAATTGGGAAAGAGTTGAACAATACTTGAATACATTTTTGAATGATGAATAAATAATAATGCAAGTCTTAGACTTTAATCTTGCATTTTTGTAATAGAGATCCGAATAAATTACATGAATTAATTTTGTAATCAAATAGAATTCCTCATGTAATTAGTCTTGTGATGACCGATTAATTGGATCGAATTCCTTTTCCACTAACTTCTTGAATAAACACTTCATGTATTTAAATAACCATGATGTAACTCCACCAAAATATTCATAAAAATAATCTTGAATAAATATTTCTTGCGATAAATGATTATTCTTGGATGAGATCTCTTGATAGCTCCTCTTTAATTATCACTTGAATTCAAATAAAGAAATATTCCAAATATTCCGAATAAATTCTTCTAGAACGGTTTTGAATTTAATTATCCCATTTTGACGAAATGCACCCCGTGTTATGAGAAAATTTACAGATGACTTTTTGGTCAAAGAAATCGAAAATAACAGTGTAACCTGGTTTTCTTATATCTTAGAATAATGTGAAACACACGCAAATCAAAGACAATAGAAACTCGACCGTTCTTTCTGAAAAAATATTCAAAGAAGCCGGAGACCATCTGTTGGACAGAGTGTGGAAATAAACGCACAATTCTCTGAAATTCTTTTGATGAATCAGCTTTTGGAAATTAACGACCGACCGTATTTCTGCCCCGAGACTCGAAACCCTAATCGGTGTGTGACGTCCGATGCTCTTCTATCAGACTTGTTTCCTGCACATGAAAACAAAACAACAAAACATACACTTCGTGCTTGATTAGTGGTTAGTCATTCATAAGGTAAAATGCTAACAACCCTCGATAATCTCTACACAGTCAAAGCTCGAAGGAGAAACGTTCGAAACCTACCATATTTTGTGACCTTGAAAATAATGCAAATGAAACATGGATCTTAGGTAAAAAAATTGGGGTATGACAATAAGGAAAAGATAAACATCGACTAAACCTGACAGGGGTGAAATCAAGGTCTTGTGACTGAGAGATACAGGTAAGGGAGGTGGTTACGCGAAAAGAATATATTAGCACCCCTCACGTACGTGGTACTCCATGGGATCCACTCTTATTGTTCTAATTTAAGGGTGTGTTCTAATATGAAGCTAAATCTTAAGAGTTAAAGGAAAAATGCAAAGACGAAATGCATGCAAAATAAAACGCGGGAAAAAGAAGGAATATTTACAAAGTTTCGCTCTCCTTGGCCCTGCGCCCAAATGCCTACGTATCCCTTTTATAGAATCAGATCATCGTAGTTTGACTTAAAAGTTTCCTTTTGTTTTTTGTTTTTATGGATAATGCCGCATTCGCATCCTTACAGTTAGGATTTCAATTTGCGCTTGGTGTTGTAGCTCGTAAAGAGACTCATCCTCGGCCCGTCGCACACTTAGAATTTCTAAGTTGTTCGAATTTGAAACAACACATCCTTATTGAAAAGGTTTTAAAAGGGAAAAAGGTCCGAAGAGAAAAAAGGTTTGCATTGGTTTGTACTTTTTATTGCGAAAGAATTTTAAATTTGAACCATAATAAAGTTCAGAAGTGAAAATAGAGCAAGATTCAGTCTAAAATGATTCGCTTTACCCTACAAGACTCAGTTGCATACAATTTGCATCTTCCTTTATTAAGTGTTTTAGAATTTTCAAAGAAAAATAGGTTTTAGTTTTAAGAATGCAAAAGGGAAAGAAAAACATCTAAGGGAGACTATCTAGATCTATCCATAATGTTATCATACAATGATGGCCCTAAGATTCAAATAACAAAAAGGGAAATATCTACCTATGTTAGCATGCATAGATTACAATCTAATGTCTAACTTGAATAAAAAACGAGACAAGAAATCCTAAGGGAACATGAAAAGGTTACAACCTAATATCCAACTTGAATTTAAAACAAGACAAGAAATCCTAAGGGATCATGCAAAGGTTTAAAGTGAAACAAAACACAAGCGAGATCAACCACAAGTGCAATCAACCTAAGTCGAACCAATACTAAAGCAAAATCGGGTGTAAGCTAATGACAAACAAAGAGTCCAATGGATCTGAAAGTGGGAGTAAGGAACTCTTTCCACATGATTTGCTCGAGCACAAACATCGAGTAACAACTTAGAGCATCAACGTCAAACAACACGAGATATAATCATCGAAACAAATGACAAAGCGTGAAGGGTTGGTTACAGACCCATGTCTTCCACTTGACCGACTCGAGAACAAGAGTAAGCACGGTTCAGAGCATCAATGTACAACACGAGCTAGGAACGACACAAACTAAAATGTGCGGGGGTCGATTATGGACCCTCTGTTCCACTTATTGACTCGATAGCAAGCACAATGTAAAAGGGAGAGGGTAATGCCTACTTTGAGGACTTTATCAAAATTTTCTCTTTTAAGGTCTTTAAACACTCAATAAGAAATTGCCCTCTTTTGGGGTCTTTTACACACAAGCAAACACAAACATTGCCTCATCGAGGTCTTTAACAGAACAAACATCTCCTCCTTTGAGGACTTTAAACAGATTTCCCACCTAAAGTAGGGACTCCCAGTCATGCATCTCTTTTCCTACTTCTCATAGCAAGGAAAAGAAAATGTGATGCAGAAAAATAACCAGAATCAATATAATACCAAACGAACAAGAGTTCATAACAATCAAGCAAAAGCATAATAACTCCGAAAAAACTTTGAGCAAGCTTTACCAAGCAACAGTGAAATAGTCAGAAACAATATCCAATATAAGCATTAAATTTCGCAATGTGAAAATAAATCGCAGTGGACATAAACCACATCCAATCAAAGTCCCTGCACAAAACAAATATAAACAACCAAGCAAAATCCAAACGTCGCATGTCGCACGAAAAAGGCCTCCAAAAGCTTGCACAAGTCACAAAATGAGTTAGCAATTAACAAGGTGGCATAAACTAAGCTCAAGTGTCGAAAAAAAACTCAAAAATAATAGTGAATTACAAAGGAACCAAGTCCAAACAAGCACCAACAAGTGAAAAAAAATTCAGGGAGCAACATTTTTATCTCATGAACCACACAAAATATCGATTTAAAACCAACAAAACTTTACACAAATGTAAAGACAAGTTCCCTTAACCATGAACCAATAATTAAATCACACTTGAAGATAAAATTACAAGACCGGGCAGCACTGTATCACTTTATGTGATCACTCAAATAATCGCGTTAAAAGCGAGCAAACTCAACAACATTGGCCAATAATCGAACAATTAAGCACAAATATGCATTATATGAATATCAAATTGCAATGCACATGTCAAACAGAAAACCGGATAGCATTGTATCATTACATGAAATGCATAAAAGAGTCAGATCAAAACCGAATAAACTTGATGCTAATGCTAAACCAATGCTCGATTAAACTCATTTATGCAATGCTCAAGAGTTAAAATTTAAGTATGCTACCATTTACAAATCCCGTACAATAACATATTAATATCATAAACCGCATAACATTTCGATTCAAAACTAACAAAACTTGACATAAATGTCGTCCAAACATCAAAGCAACCTCACTTGTGCAATAAACCATAATTAAATCACATTTCGAGTCTGTTTTCATAAATCGGACATCACTACACTGTTTCACAAAATTACTTGGAAAAACATAACGGAATCGATAATTCTGATCACTAATGAACAAAAAACACGCAAATGATCTCAAGTTAGCATCAAACGATATTTGAAATTCCATTTACAAGACACTTGTATTTTACTGGCAGCAACACATATTTGAACCGGTATCAATCAAAATCAAATTTAAAAATCACAAACAAATGTGAAAATATGTTCACCGATTCAAGTTATGTAGCTTAGAAATTACAAATGCTTGTAATTGATTAAATTCGCATTAAAACAAATGTTCCAAGCTTCCAAATAAATAATACAAGCGTTGATACAATAAATTAAATCGAAAGTTTCAATGTTGGAAAAAATTTAAATCATCACCAAATCGATTAAAATTAATGCATTAACACATGAAATTCAATAATCCTCAACAAACATTTGATTGAAAATGAAATCAACACACAAGCATCATGTAATCATGAACAAAAAATTATTCGACGTGCAAGAATTATCGAGTCCATACAATTATCATCAATTCAACATAGATCTATCCTACTTCACATTTATTCATCATCATCAACATCAATTTAACTCCAATTTCTCAAGATCTAAAATATTATTCAACTCATAAATTAAATTAATCACCAAAACTAAAATCAATTATTAAGATAAGCACTTAATTCAATTGGAGATTCAAGAAATTACCGAAGCAAAAGTCATTCGGAGATGAAGGAGGAGCTGCAGGCCGGAGTAAATGATCGGAGAAGAGGAGTTAGCTCGCCAGAAAATCGCGAGCAAACGGAGGGAGAAATCCGCGAACTACCGCGCGGTGACGGAGGGAGCAGAATCATCGGAAACGCGACAACTTGCTGACTAGAAAACTTGTGAGCAGGGCAGTGGTCCGGTGAGGCTATGGCGGAGGTAGCGAAAGAGAAGGAAGTTTGCCGAAATTCTTGATGAAGATGAAGTTTGCTGAAGTTTTTTTTTTTTTTGAAGGTGTTCTTGATGAAATTGGAGAGAAAGTTGAGAGAGAAATGAGAGAAAAGGTGGGTTTGATTCTTGAGATGTGAAATTATGAGAGTTGTGTTTGAAATTTGAAATTATATATATATATATATATATATATATATATATATATATATATATATATATATATATATATATATATATATATATATATATATATATATATATATATATATATATATATATAGTTTGGCTCCAAAAGTGAATTTTTGAGCTTATTTTGTGAACAGTGTGAGTTCGAACCCCAAGCTCATCACAATCGGTGCGAAATCCTGATGCGTGACTTGAAACAAAGTTGTTGATGATGAAATTTGTGACGCGGCACCAATAGAATCGTCCCATTATGATAAAAATCGAGCAAGTTACGTTGCCATGAACGGCGAGAAACTCAATGTAAAAAATCACTGCAGATTTTCTCTGCTTATTTTGTGTACACAAACAAATCACAAGCTCATGATGTTCGATGCAGAATCCGGACAAGCAACCTGAAACAAAATCGCCCGTGACAAAATTTGTGACGGCATGCCAAAAGAATCACCCTGATATGATAAAAATATAACAAGTTATGATTTTTGGAATGGCGAGAAATAATGGACTTATTTCACCGTATTGAAAATTTCAGCTTATTTATGTGCCCACTTTCGGATGCGAGCTATAAACCGAAGCCTTCAGAGCATATTCCGAACTCAGGCCCTGAAGCAAAGTTGAAGCTTACAAAATTTTTGAACTCACGCTTTAAGAATCATCTCGATATGATAAAAATAGAGAGATTTATGATTTTATAATATCGAGAAACAGCCCAGTAGAGAAAATAGTTTTGGCGTGCAATTTTCTCTGGTAATTCATATTTTTGAAAAACTTCTGCAATGAATTAGCTCCTGACCCAAATACATGGATTGAAGATAAAAACAAGATGAATGTTTTTCCCAAATAACCATCCCTAAACATCGAGCCAAGCGAAAGTTATGAATTTTTGATCATCCAAAAAATAACGGTTCAACACACTATTTTCACTATTTTTGCACTATATATCTTCTGAGTACTCACACATTCAGAGATCTTCCTCAATGAATTGGCTTCCAAGACGAACACAAAAGTTAGAGGAAATGTTAAGACGGTTCAAATTCTCCAAGAACCAATCAAAGCGATTTTCCAGTCAGAAGTTACGAATTTTTAAATATTTGAAAACCAGCAAACTAGCAAATCCATTGTATACCGCATTTCAGGTATTTGGCGCTTTTAAAAATCTCCCTCACAAAATTAGACTTCCATATGAACAAATGAAATAGAGTATATATCAAGACAGTTCTAAATACTAATGAACCATTTCCAAACCATTTTTCGATCTCAAGTTATGAATTTCTAGGCTCGCACAGCAAGATACTGAATTTCTGTCTGCACTATCTCAAATTGATTGAAATGCTTGACTTTCTGTCCAATTCAAAGCGTACTGAGATACATAAGAGCTTGATATGATGATGAATTTATTAATCTCTTATTAGATAGTTTGGAACTCATACAGAGTGCATAAAAATGCGGAAAACCATGAGTTCTACTTCACAATGCTGCTTCATAGAACAATCAATTTTCGCAATTCTTTCTTGCAGAGAAATACCTTGATTCCATGATTATAAAGCCAGTGACATGTATGCATATGATGATAAAGTATAAGCCAAATAAAGTTAAGATGAAGAGGGCAAATTTTGGAATACAACAACGTATCTTGATATGTTTAGTGCGATAATGTAGTACATATTTTTTGGTTAGATTAATGGCACTAGTGTTGTCACACGTGATAGGAAGACGCGGAATTTTAATACCAAAATCATGTAGTTGTTACTTAAGCCATCAAATTTATGTATAACATACTGTCTTCCACGTATTCCACCTCGATTGTTGACAAAGCAACCAAAACTTTCTTTTTGCTATGCCAACTAACCAAGGATTTTGAAAATAAGTGACAAGTACCACAAGTACTTTCCCTATCCAATTTGGAACTAGCAAAATTGGAATCAGATTAACCAACCAAGCTACAATTGTTTCCCTTGGAGTTCCAAACCCGAAACTTAGAGGTACCAATAAGGTATCTAAGAATGCACTTAACTGCTTGTAGTTGTGATTCCTTAGGAACTGATGATATCATGCACACATACAAACACTAAACATAATATTTGATATAGATGTTGTAAGATAAAGAAGAGATCCAATTATACCTATATACCTTTTAACCTTAACATCTTTACCATTTTCATCTCTATCCAAGTTACCGTTTGTTGCCGTAGCTGTGTCAATTTCCTTTGCACCGTCCATACCGAATCTCTTGAGTAATTCAAGATAATACTTGGTTTGACATACAAATGTTCCTTCATCGAGTTTCTTAATTTGTAGTCCGAGAAATTAGTTCAACTCTCTCATTAGAATCATTTCAAACTCTCTCATAAACATAAATTTGAACGATTAAAATATGTTTCCCTTAAAGTTTAATAAATAGTGTAGTGTCTACGTTCCCTCTAGAGTATCCTTGATCTAGTAAGAACTTGCTAAGTTGGTCATACCATGCCCTAGGGGCTTGTTTAAAACCATACAAAGCACGTTTTATTTTAAAAACATGATTAGGAAACTCATAATTTTTAAAACCGGGAGGTTGTGAATCATACACTTCTTCACTTCTGTATTCGTTAAGAGAAGCACCTTTAACATCCATTTGATATAATTTGAAGTTCTTAGAGCATGCATACGCCAATAAAAGGTGTATAGCCTCAAGTCTGGCAACCGGAGCATAAGTCTACTTATAATCAATGCCTTCCTCTTAGTTATACCCTTAAGCCACAATATGAGCTTTATTCCTTGTTATCACACCATGTTCGTCAAGCTTATTCCTAAATACACATCGATTGCCTATAATTTATTGATTTTTTGAACGAGGAACAAGGTCCAAAACGTCATTTCTTTCAAATTGGTTCAATTCTTCTTGCATGTCTATAAGCCAATGTTCATCAAGTAACGCATCGTTAGCATTTTAAGGTTCAACTTGTGACACGTACGCATGGTGATAATAAAAATTACTTATCTTAGAGTGAGTTGTTACCCTCTTTGTGATATCACCAATAATGTTATCAATAGAATGATCCTTGGAGATTTTCCACTCCAATGGAAGACCATCATCGTCTTTTTGACTTTCATCATCATTAATTTCTTGTTATCATCTTCCTCCTTGTCAATTTCCACCGTTTTAGGTTGATAAACTCCTTTTCGATGTCTTTAAGTATGTCTTTCATAGATGCACCTACACAATAAAAAGAAATACCTTTCCCAACATTATTTAGGAAAGTCTCATCAAAAGTAACATGAACCGACTCTTCAACAATAAGTAATCTTTTTTTATAAACTCTATATGCTTTACTAGATTATGAGTATCCAAGAAAGATACCTTCATCGACTTTTGCGTCAAATTTCCCAAGGTTATATTTTCCATTATTTAAAAAAAAACATTTACATCCAAAGACACGAAGATGCAATAAATTTGGTTTTCTACCTTTTAAAAGTTCACGAGTTGTTTTGACAAGTATAAAATGAATAAGAATCCTATTCAAGAGATAACAATCCGTGCTAATGGCATTGGTCCAAATATATTTTGGCAGACCATGATCATGCAGCATTGTTCTTGCCAACTCCGCTAAAACACGATTTTTGCGTTCCACAACTCCATTTTGTTGTGGAGTTCTAGGAGATGAAAAGTTATGTTCAATACCAAATTTATCACAGTACTCTTCAAAGAGGTGGTTTTCAATTTCACCTCCATAATCGCTTCGAATAGAAACTATTTTAGAATTCAATTTATTTTGAGATAACTTGGTAAAACCTGTGAAAGCCGAGAATGTTTTATCTTTGCTACGTAAGAAAATAGTCCAACAAAATCTTGAGTAATCGTCTACCATAACAAGACCATAGTAATTATCACCTATGCTTTTGGTCCGTGAAGGTCCAAACAAATCCATGTGAAGGAGCTCAAGAGGTTTCGAAGTTGAAACAACATTTTTAGGTTTAAAAAAGACTCTTGTTTTCTTACCCTTTTTTCATGCATCACATAGGTGATATTTTGAAAATTTTATTTTAGATAGACCAATTACAAAATATTTTGCAACTATTTTATTAAGTAGATCAAAGTTGACATGTGCCAAACATCTATGCCAAAGCTAAGAGTCTTCGCTCATGGTAACAAGACATTGAGAATTATTAAAAGACACTTCTTTTAAGTCTAGCATATAAATGTTATTAACCCTCACACCATTAAACATACAATATTTCTTTTAATTATGTTCTATTATGCAACAATCTTTGGCAAAAGTTACTTTATACCCATTGTCACATAATTGACTAATGCTAAGAAGAATATGTCTAAGGCCTTCAACTAACATAACATTTGAGATAGTAATAGTTGAGGGATTATCTATACTACTTTTTTTGAGTATTACACCTTTGTTGTGATCACCATAGGATACAAATCCTTTCTTCTTCTCCATAAAGTCAGTGAATAGAGAAATGTCTCCCATCACGTGTCTTGAACATCCACTATCGAGAATCCATTTTCCCATCATAGCATCAAGACACTCAACCTACATAATCAAACAAAAGTTGTAGGTTCTAAATTCTCATTGGGTCCTTGGGAGTGAGTGAAATAATTGTTTCATTTGGGATACCATTAGAAATTTCCTTTAGGAACTAGAAAGCACCTAAATTTGCATTTTTCAATAGTGTGGCCTTTTTCACAACAATAGTGACAAAACAATTCATGATGAGTTTTACTTTTTATATTAGACTCCTTCTTAATAAAATTATAATTTTATGAGGCTTTTAAACCTTTGAAGGATTAATGGTAAAAGCATCGTGAGATTGTAATGCCTATCCACTTTGGCTTTAAGAGTACTCACTTCTTGTTGCTAAATTTGACAAGTATCACAATCGAACCGACTAGGTTCCCCATCCTCATCTTTATGTTTTTTACCATCCATAA